GAGGAGGAGGATGCTCCAGGCACCGGACCGGACCGCAGAGGGCAGCCGGACCCCGGGGAGCAGGTGAGTGCAAACATGGCATGGGGAGGGGCAAGAGGAAAGGGGACCCTTTGCCTTGGGGGACTTGGCCCCCTGGCCCTGGCTGTCCCCTCTCTGCTCGTCCATGAGTCTCTCCCACCCTTGGGTGCTGGAGAAGGGCTTGCTGGTCCCTGCAAGGGTAGGGCAGTCACAGCCCCTTCCCGGTGCTGGGAGGTGCAGGCTGTGGTCAAGGCCCTCTAGTTCAGTTTTGGGAGAAGGGTGGGGGTTGCAAGTGAGTTTCATCTCTGCGATGGGGTCCCCAGGCTTGGCCACCCTGGGAAAGGAGAGCTGGGACCTTGGCTGACACCACACCGTGCCCTTCCCACTCTGCTCTGGGGATGCTGAGGAGGCAGGATGGGACCTCCACGAGGTGCAGGAGCGATGTTGAGACAAATCCCAGCACCAGCGAGCATGTCCCCCCATGCTTCTGTTGCAGGAACCCCTGGGGAGCTTGCCCCCACCCCTGCTGCCTGTCCCTACTCCTGCCCCTGCCCAGCCCGCAGGCAACACCAGCCAGAGTAGAGGCTGTTCTTCCAGCCGGGCTGGTGAAGGCGGTTTCTCTCCTTGCCAAAGTTTCAAGCTTTTTATTCCCCTTCTCTTTTTTTTTCTTTCTCGGTTTTAAAAACGAAAGCGCAGTGTTCCTACGGAGCAGAGCAGCCGAAGTCGCTCTGGATAAAACCCTGCCCCAACTCACACGGAAATTGCTACAGAATAATAATCAGGGTTGAGAAAGTCCCACTGTGTTCCTCTTTGCTGCGCTTTGTTTACTCTGATTTATTATCACCTAACGCCAAAACTTCGGGGCTCTCCCTTCCTGGGCAGACGGGCTTGGCATGAGCCCTATTTCCGGAGCTGGAAATGCTGGTGGCCCCACACTGGTCCTGAGATGCAGGATACGCCCTCAGGGCAACATGCCCCAGGTCTCTTGGGCATCGTGTGGGCAGTGTAACATGTCTGGGCAGGCAAAAGTTGGAAGGGTTTTCTCTAAGGTGCTGCTGGGCCACTCGTGAAGCGAGCGTGCCCGGTCTCAGAGGTGCTTAGTCAGGCTGGCAGCTGCAACAGTGATGCTGGTGGCTGCAGCACGGGTGGGTTTTACGGGTAAAGGAGGGAATTTGCCCAGCAAGGAGCCACAGGTGCAGCGTCATGCTTGGGCTGGGCCCCTTCGGGAACCGCGATTGCCTTCCCGTAAATGCCCTGGTGAGGAAGGGAATGGTTGAGCCTCCCTAGGCAGGAACCCAGCCCGGCACACCCGCGGGCTCCAACAATAGGGAAACGCCAGTTGCAGGAGTCTGGGTGGTGGGTGCTGCCAGCGCAGGCAGCCTGAATCGCGGTTATGGGGCTGCCAGACCCCTTTGCTCTTCAGCAAGAAACCGGTAGCACCAGAACAGATCCTGTACCTGGGCCAGCTCCAAGCCATGCCCCATGGGATGCTGGCCCCACACTGTGCTGGCAGGACCAGGGTGCTGGGGGGCACACCCCAGCGTAACTGCGTCCTGCTGGGAAAGGTGCTGGGTGGGCCAGCCTGGAGGAGCTGGGCACAGCGCCTTCCCTGCCTGCGAGAGCAGGAGCAGAGTTGTGCTGACTTGGCAGCAGCAGCAGCAGCACGAACATTGCTCGGGACGGGATTTGGCCGGCTCCACCACCCGCCTTCCCCGGCCAAGGGTCAGCTGGCATCGCCTCCTCCTGAGGCCCTGGGATTCACAGCCCAGCCTGGGGACTGTGGGGACAGCACCGAGCCCCTTCCCCTGAGCTCCGGGCTGCTGCGTCCTTCACCATCTCCTGTTGTTGGCTGAAGTCCTTCTCGATATCCTCGGCTGAAGGGTGAGGGGCACCGAATCCCTGCGTAGGTGTTTCGCGCTGGCAGGAAGCACAGGGCAGCGTAATTAGGGCAAATGCCCAATAAGCATTAATTAGACTTGAGGCTGGGCTGTAGGGGATGGTGCTGAGCTCCCCAGCCCTGCAGCGATCGCACATCCAGCTGTGCTGGTGGGTGCTCGGGGCTGAGCCTGTCTGCC